CAGTGAGCGCCCCCGCCCCGCGCCAAGGGCGGGCGGACTGCGGCGGGCGCGCCCCCTCCCCACGCGCTCCGCAGGCGGCCGGGAGCAGACCCCGGCCGGGGGCACCGCGGCTATTTMTCTTAATTCCCCGCGCGAAGGGAGCTGGGCCAGCCGCGGCCGGATAAGCTTCCTGCGTGCGGCGGGAGGGGAGGGAAGAGGGAGCCGCCGCCGCCGCCCTCCCCYGGGCGCACGTCAGCGGGGCTAACACCGGGCCACCCGGCCCCTGCGTGCCGAGGGCCGCAGGCAACAGCCACCCCGCTAGCTGCGGCCGCTCCGTGCGCGGGCAGGAAGAGGCGGCAGCTCCCGGCCGCCGCCGCCCGTCCCAACAGCAGTCCGAGCCCGGCGCCCCGCGTAGGGAACCCRGCCCGCTGTGCTGCCGCCCGCGAGCGGGGGAAGTGGGGCCTCAAGCCCTTCTGCGGATCAGCCTCAAAGTTGGGCCCGGTGCTCCCKAGCGCTGTCAGGCTGCCCGACCTTGGGGACGCGTGTGGAAGTCCCCGAGGAAATGAGCCATCTGGTGCAGAGGTAAAGCGGTAACACGCGAAATGTCTTGAAACTGTTAAGAGTGAGAACCGGCATTCGCACACACGCGTGGTTTATGGTGATGGGACTTGGACGCAGAAGACAAACAGAAATTATCGGTCTCCCAACTACAAAAGAAAACAAACCAGCCTCTGCGCTGTCTCTGCTAGGATAGCATCTGAGAGTGCTGCTGCAGTGCCTTCATAAGCAAGTTTGTTTTCTCCTTTTACTTAAGTGAGTCTGTCTCTGTCTGAACAATTGCCAAATCTGCTTAATATGCAGATTTATATAGGGCAGTCACTGATCCAGCCAGAGAGRGAAGGGCTGCACTGGCCTCTCCTGCGTGACTGGGAGCGCAAGCTGTGTTAAGAACATTCAGAGAGACAGATGAGTGTACCATAAGCCAAGAGTAGCATTAAACTGATCTGAAAATTAAGAGTACTGTATAAGTACCATATATTCCTGTGCCATGTCTGGACTATGAAATCATTTTATTCAATCATACAAAAAGCAGTGACAGCAGCCACCTGCATATCCCCCCTGCTCCCCATCTCCAGGTCAAATGCAGCCAACCCAGTGCTGCAAAGACTACACCGAAGTGATGCAGTGGGCAAAAATTCCCTCAGCCTATGCAGAAAGTAGATAGCAAAAGTAGGACAACATAACAGTAGCATTACAACAAAGCAATACCTCTCGAAGGTGATTATGAAACAACAGCATTCTGCGTCTTACACCATGCCAGCATTTAAACCTGGAAACCTGCTGACACAGCTGTATAATTCAGAGAACCAACGAATGATCTATCCAACAGGTATCAGTCGATCAGCCTCCTGCCAAGAAAAAATTGCTCCAACAGCCTTATTTGGTGGCCCACCAGTTTCTTTTACAGAACAGTTGCAGCCAAGGAGGAAAGCAGTTTTGACAACCTATGGTCCTTACCAGGGGAATTGGMTGATGTCATGAAATTCAAGTGGGAGATTATATATACAGAGGTGGGCAATGTTGCTGATACACAACCTGAACTGCACGTCCACCATCCAAAATGACTTTAGATGTCCTTTGTGTAGGAAAGGTGAGCTGTTAAGTTTGTGCTGTGGTTGCGCTAGGCGATGTCATCAGGAAATATGCAATCCATTCCCAGTGTTAAAATGTACAGAGCAACAGAGCTTTGTTCCACAKCACAGAACTGAGAGTGGATGATTAGGACCAAATTTTAGCATTCTGTAGTGAATAAGCAGCTAGAGGGAGCAAATCTAACTTTTATGCAGAGGAAAGTGGTCAAGCCATGACAAAAAGTACAGCAACAGGAGAGGTTACCTAAAGCTATGTATTAAACTGAGAGCTATTCTGCAGTTGAAAACTGTTTTAACTGGATTCAAGAAATGTTCTGTGCTCTACCCAATGTACCCCAAGATATTTAAGAAGCTGTCATTGCAGTGGTCTCATAAAAATATACAAGGAACGTAAAAGGAGGGAGACGGAAGTGGACGTTTCTCATCTTCAAGTGTTACAAGGGAAAGTGAGGTCTGGAAATCAGAAAGGGAACAGAGGAGCAAGTGTGTAAGGAAAAGCTAACCATGTGTTCTGCATAGCAAGTGCTACRGAAACAGATTGCTAACTGAGAAACTTGTGTTAAGTGAGAAGTGGGATATAAATTGAGTGACAGACTTGATTAAACCAAGTACTGAGTGGGAGACTAAATTATGGGAGTAGAGTTTTTAAAAGGAATGTAGACAAAATGAAGCAGGAGGAGGGGAGGCAATATGGATAAGAGAGTATTGTGTCAACAGAAAGAAATATTGATGTTCTGGCTGACATTCCAGTCTACTTGTACTGAGAGCAAAACTGCAAACAGAGGTGAATCTGCATGGTGCCTGGTCAGAATAATGTTGTAGGGACCAGAAAATATCTGAACAGTAAGAAATGGTTTTGAGAGCCTGTGCAYTACTAATGGGAGAGTCAGCAAAGGAACAGTAAGTGAGATCCTGACCCRAGTTACATGGGATTAAAATCTGAAAGTAATGCTTTGCTTTTAGTATTAGCCAGCTGCAGATTTCACATTATCAGAGTAGCAGTTTTGGTCACTATCTTTTGAAGTAGCACAGTTTGGCTTATACAGTACCCTAAACTGTCAGGGATCTGTGAGGTATTAATCTGATTTTGATAACTGGAGCTGAGTAAGAGGCACTAAAGAAAGTAAGTAAAATGCAAAGGATTTAATGCAAAGCCCATGGGCGTAAATGGACATTTCCTCTGATGTTAATGGACTTCAGATCAGGCCCCATCTGTCCATGGAGACTAAGGTCAGCTTTGGTATGTTGAAGAATGTCTGTGGGAAGGCAATAACACAAAAGCGTTGGTCTTTAGGGAAGCAGAGTGAAGGACTAAAAAATTAGTTCACAGAAACAACAGGAATTCAAACCACTGTGGAAAATGGGAAGGATGCTGGAGAAGATGCATGATARCATCTTTCCAGCACATTTGAACAAGCTCAAGGGCAGCGTATATCACTGAGTGGAGCAGTGCTGGCTAGTGCCAGATATGAAGAGAGGGTGTGAGCAAAAAGAAAGGACTTRAGAATGGTAAGAATGGTGGAGTTAGAACTTAGTCTAGGAGGTTGAAAGCAAGAAGCAAAAAAAGAAACATTCAGTAAAGAAAATGAGTAGGCATATTTTTAAAATAGACGTTTTCTGGGTTTCTGCTATTAACTTGGGGTCCCACAAAGAATCAACTATTTTTCTTCTCTGTGCCTCTGCTSTCCAGCCTGCCTCTTTAAAGTGAGTAACTCCACATAGGTCTTATCTCCCACATGGATATTACAGGGTATAAAATTCAACCTGCCCTGCTATTGTGTGGGGCTTCCTGACAYCAGTTCAGTACAGTAACAAATGAAAATGCAAAACAAAGCAACGAAACATCTAAAATTGTGTGAAATATTCAATCATCTTAAAATGAGGAAATTTTTGGCAGGTAAAGAAAAGATGTGAAATTCTTAACTATTATTATGCTTCTGAATCTACAAAGAAATGTGCAAAGAGTTACCTAAATCAAGCATCATTTTGTCTTGACTGTTCGTGGACTCCCATTCATATACACAGAAGAAAACCCCCTTATTTTCATAGGTTTCATCCATGTTTGCTATACAAAATCTCAAAGCTTTTGTTTTTACTTACACCATTGTTGAGTATCTACCAAGAAAATCAATTTCTTTCAATGTGCCTGGTTRTTCTCTTCCTTCTCCCAAACTGACATTCATTTGTTACTTCTGAGGATTTGTAAGTGAGGCTGATAAAAATAAAAAGAAGCATGCATAGAAAGAAGATTGGAAAGAGAGGAACTTCTTAGTGAATGAATATAAAATTTATATTCGAAATAAACGATAGAGTTCTGGAGAGAAGCAAATATTAAATTACCCTATTAGTAGGGACTATTCAGCCATCCATCTAGTTTAGTGTCTTGTCTTCAGTAGTGACCTATTCCAGATGATAAATGTAAGGGAGGGGGAAGAGAAGGCTATGAAAGGAAGACAGAGAAGAAAAAATGAAAGTAATCAAAGCAGGCCAATAAAGAGGTCCATGTAACTATGACCCACATACATATTGTGTACTTGATTTGAGAGTGGCTTTCCTCTTGACCCCAAGCTGATGATCAAAATATGCCCTGAAGCATCAGGATTGGTAGCCCCTGTAATTTTGATCCTAGCTTGTGTCAGTGCATATGCTATTCTGTTTCATGTCAGTGCCTAATCCTTTTTGATAGTTACTAAGCTATTTAAGTCAATAATATCCCATGGCTCTGTGTGTCGCATGTCAATTATATGGCTCATAAAACATATAACCTGATCCCATTGCAAATTTGTTCTATTTTAATGTCTCTGAGTGCTTTCTACTGTTACGAGACAGGGTCGGTAGGTAGTGTGTCCAAGTGGCCAGCCCTGTTCTGTATATCTSTGCTCTTTAGTGCTGCGGGTCAGTGCCCCAGGGAGCTCAGACAAAGGAGGGGGCAGCTGTGGTTTGGCAGGGTCTCAGTGCCTGGGTGCCTCCGGGCAGGCTCTGTGTACCTGCTGGCAGCCTCCCTGCTTCCCCAGCGCCCCTAGTGAACCATGGGGACACATGCTTTCACTGGGATTTTTCCAATTCACCTAGACATGAGGTACTTTCCTCCCAAATTGAAGTGCTTGCAGCTTTGGATTTCAGAAGCATGGGCTAGGTCTCCAACTAGGAAAGGGAAGCATTTGGGACACATTCAGCCTATTTAATTGGCAAAAGCTTGTTCCCCACTATTTTTTCTCTAGACCCCTATTCTACCTTAAAGAGGGATCAATATCACATTTATTGATGGATTTCACAGGGTGTTCTGAATTCCCGCACAACTACATATGACATAGGCAAAGCCTAGTGGAAGATAATGCATGGATARTCTTGACAAGCTGATTTACTTCACCCACAGAGCCATATAGAAGGGGCTACAGCAGCCTGATTCTATGTTTCTCAYCTCATGAAAAACCAAGTCCCTCCAATATTAGCCTGAGCTCTAGGTTCAAAACTGAGCGAGGTCCAGAAGAGTTGCCTTTCCAGATTCCTCTCAGAAAYTGCTAGAGAGACATTGCTAAACAATTTTTGAATGTTGCAATGTCTGCTGCTTTCTTAACAGATAAGTTTTACAACATATTTATGTTCTTATCACATCTAAATTATCATTTGAAATTTATCCATAAGACCCTGTAGAAAACAGTGAGGATTATGAAAGTCAGATATAATGCGAGCAATAAGCATTTCCTCTAGTTCTCTATCTGTAAGAATAGATAGAATGCTCTAAAACCCCCGACGTTTTCATTTCTCTCTTCTTGAAACTGGCCAATGTCAATTGTTAATTGGATGAAGAGCAGTGTTTCCCACCACTTAYATGGCAACAAGATAATATTCCACAAGTCTCTTGAATAACTATACAGTAACAGTAACTGGTACCTTAAAATCACCCTCAGATGAGCTTAGTCTCAAAAT